TGGTACCAACACCAGCCACTGCCCAAGGCGACAGCTCCACGGAAGCCCCAGCCCTCAGCAGGAAAAGGTGAACTGGGAACCCGTGGCTTGAGTGGGCCCAACTCCTGTGGGTACCTTTTGTGTGTGTGTGTGTGGTATGGGGGGTTGAATTTAGGGCTTTTACACTGAGCTACTTCCCTAACCTTTAACATTTTTTTTCTTAAATTCTACACAGGGTCTTATTATGTTGCCCAGGCTGGGCTAGAACTTGCCATCCTTCGGCCTCAGCCTTCCAGAGTGCTGGGGTTATCATTATAAGTACAGTATGTGCCACCACACCTGGCATGACTGTTTTTTAAGTCACTTTGGAGGAAATTCTTTTAATTAGTAAAATTAAATTTTTTTTCCCTCCAAGACAAGATAACTTTATTAGCAATAGTTGGAATCGCCTCTGCCAAGGGCCTTCTGGAAGGGAGAGAACCAGCCACTTGTGGCCCTAACACCTCCCTCATGTTTTGCATCTTAAACTCTGATATACCACGACTTAAAATAAAGGTACAGTCACATATGCGTCTGTTCCTAGTAGAAATCGGCTCTTTCAAGGGCCATTTAATACTATCATTTGAAATGTACATGCCCACTAACTTAGCAATTGCATGGCTGAGAAGTTATCCTACAGATAAACTTATAAATTAGACAAAATAGATATACAAGTCGAACATTCCTAATCCAAAAAGCTAAAATCCAAAGCTTTTCTTTTTTAAAAAAAATTCTTTTATTGGTCCATTTTAGGTATACAATATGTTTACATTTACCATTGGGTGCTTATACCTGTACATGATGCATCTTAGTTCTTTTTTTTTTCCCCCATTACCTGTGCGCCCTTCACCCTCCAAAGCTTTTCTTAGTGCTGACATGACACCACAAGTAGAAAATTCCACAACTTTCCTAGTGTCTTTGATTACATTAAAACACAGTGGGGCTGAGAATGTAGCCCAGTGGTACAGCACTTGCTTGGCATGCATGATTAGGACCCATCACCAAGACATCGATAGATAGGTAGGTAGGTAGGAAGGTAGACAGACAGAGATATCCATATATACGCACATATATACATACGTTTATATATATATGCAAATATTCACAAAATATTCCAAAACTTGAAACACTTCTAGTCCCGAGTATATCAGATAAAGGCTATTCAACCTGTACAAAGATATTCCCTGAAACTCGATGTATAAGAAATAGTGCCATAAACCTGGTATATTTTAACAAGTGGTCAAGATTTTCTTCTTCCATATAAAAGAATACCATGCAGCAGATGGAAAAAGGGCCAAAGTGTGCAGACATAGAAAGATATTGAAGATACGTAATTAGGCGAAAAAAATTAGTTTACAGAATGTTAACATTTGTATAAAAGTTTAACTTAGAAAAATTCCAGACTGCTATACAAGAATACATTCACTATGGCCACCCGTGGAAATGTGGGGGAACAAGAGGGAGGGAAACAGAGCAGAAAGAGACTTTGTCTGGTGACGGAGTGACTATAATGGCCCTCAAGGCCCCAGCCACCTGCCCTTCTGAGAGTCTTGTCATTTGCTATGTGCTTTGCTAGAAAAGGGGAGCAAGAGGTACAGTCACCCCTACCTCATCCACAGCTGATGGGTATCAGGGCCCCTGCGGGCCCTAAAACCTGCAGGCGCTCCTGTCCCTCATACACAATGCCATAGCACTTGCATATCACCGCCACACACCCTCCCGGGGACTTCTGATCCTCTCTAGATTGCTTCTAACACCCATGCAAATGCTGTATAAACAGTTGCTATAATGCATGCCTTGGGGACTGTTGATGAGAGGAACATCCTCCATATGTGTTCAGTACAGATGCAATTTAAAAAATACTTTCAGTCCATGGTTGACTGAATTCAAAGGCAGGGACCCACGGTGCAGAGGGAGCACTGTGTAGTCAGCAAGGCGAGGCCGAGTCTGTGGGAATGAGTGGCCAGTCCCACTGTGCCTTCCTAGAGACTTTGATGAGGATGGGACCCTGGTGTCCTGACGCCAGCTGTGACCCTGGGCTCCCCTTTCTAGAATCCTGGGCAGCTTCTGCCTCCATCCTCTGATCACAGATGAGGCTCTTCCAGTTTCCTCCCTGGCCGTTTCCAAACTCAGTGTCCCCCTTCATGTGGCCATGGGGAATAAGACTAAAGCCACTGATGACATTAAGAACCAGGGAGCAAAAGGGCCAATGTGGAAGCCGGATAGGCTTTTCCCAGGCACAGGCGAGCTCTGAAAAGGTCCCAAGACCCTGAGCAAATCATGTCTTGACCTAGCAAGGAGCTACAGCAATAACACAGCAGAAGTTTCTAATCACTACTTTGAGCCCTAGATAGAAAGTAAGTTCCCAAAAAACAGATTATACGGAAGAAAAATTAGGGACAAGTTTCTCCATTAGGCAAAGACCACACCGTAGGCTTCTTGGTTCTGCCAAGGACTCGGTGTGCCACACCAAGCAAGCTCCTTAACATCTCTGGTCATAACTGCTATAAATGACCGTCACCAAAGTGTCAAGGGCCTGGCACTTTTCATATGCATTATCTTAGCTAACATTCCCTGAAAGGTAATTCCATAGGCTCTGGTCTTAGAAAGCAATTAGTTTGGATGATTCTGTCTTCCTTGCTGGCTAGTTGAGCAAGCTTTTGACTTCATATTTGTAATGATATTAGTATCTTCTCCAAAGGGTCTTGTAAAGACTTAATAAGAGAACTCCCTGAAAGGCTTCAGCAAGTCACCCAGTGGATGTGCTTACCACACGTTGGCTATTCTCATCAGTCCCATTTTACAGATGGGAAAACTGACATTTGGAGAGGCCAACATCAATGAGTTTTACATTTGCTTATCACCTTCAGTGTTTCTAGTGGATTGAAAATCAGCCTTCGTTTCCCAGAAAAATCTAATGTACATGTGATTTTAGAATTACACAGTGGGGCTTGAAGCATAAATTCCACCAATTTAGATTTGATGCAAAAAAATAAAACTTACAAGTGAAAAAGGGGTAGAAAAAAATAATCTTCCTTTCCTCCCGAGTGTCCTCTCCTCTGGGTCTCTCCACTGGTCCCTGCCAGAGAAGGACAAGGCAGACAAATCCCCAGAGCCTCGAGCAGCGAGGCTGCAGTGAGGCTGGGTAACTGGCCAGGGGGCTGGGGATGGCCTCATGCAAAATGCTACCATACAAGGGCATGTTTGCTTCGATCTCAGCCCTCCCACAGAAAAGTAATGATAAATCCATAACAAATACCTTGTACGGAATAGCACATCTATTTTAGACATGATATAATAAAAAAATGGTATTTAACAGGCCAACCCAGGATTCTGCTCAAAGGAGACCAGCAAGGTCACATTTTGGGGTCTGGGGATGACAGCCCACCTCAGCTCATCGCCCCTCTAGGGAACAAACAGTGCTTTTTTATTTTAAATTTGCAAAAGGTCAGTTTAAGTCTTCTTCAAAGAGATGATGATAAATATTTACTTTGCTGGAAGCATTTGCTCCTACCAGAAACCTGACCCCATCAAGAAGTTTTTGTCCTCAGTAAAGCAAAAAGATGGTGGGGTCAAGGGTATAAACTTGGTATCAGACTGGCCAGGAAATGGGTTCCACCACTTACTAGCTGTGTGACACTCGGCATGCCACTTAACATTTCTGAGCCTCAGCTGCCTTGTATATTAAACAAGCATCATGTGGCACTGATTGCAATGACTAAACGAGCTCACTTAAGTTAAATGCTGCTACAGGGCCTGCCACTTAAGTGTTCCATCAACAGTAGCTATCTGGGAGAGAAGACACCAGGGAAAGGCTTTTCCTTGCAATGATACTCAATCTTACTTTACACCCTGTCACCTGTGACTTCAGCTCAGCATTTTCAAGCTCCCTTTAAAGCAGCATCTTACGTAAACCAAAGAAATGAAGCCTGCACCAAAGAAAACACAACTATGGGAAGTAGTTTATTCAGTCAGCCTGAGCCCCTCTGCCAAGCCCTGGCCAGTTCACAGTGTAATCAGCTCTTAACACCGTCACTAAACCTTCCCTATCTTGGGCATTTCAGTATTTTCTTTTGCATCGTGACAAGTATGGTTTTGAACGATGCCTTTCAGGAAATGGCAAAAATCCACCAGCAGGCACACTTCCATTTGGCCCGCTCTATCCCCATGAGAGCAACTTCGTGCTGACCCAGTGGGAAGCCCAGCATCATCTTACCAAATGCACCTGTAGGTGCTGGGCTCAAAGGGGGACTCTGGTATCCCACCTGGTGCCTGGGGCCCTGTGGTCACCCTGGATGAGTTTGAATTTATTCATTCATTTTAATTCAGAGGACTGGGTCTGGAAAACTGCTCTGTCATAACCCTTATCTCCCGGGGTTATCAACGCGCACGCGCACGTGATAAAAACGCTCTCTCCCGCCGTGTCCCGCCCCAGTGTGCTGTTAACAGGGTTAACACAGTCTCAGCACAGCTGAACAGATGCTTTGCAATCCACTTGCAGCTTCACTTTGGGTGCCTGGATGTTAGCAAAGTGTCTTTTCAGCGAAGTGAAGGTGCGCCTTTTTTTAATGCCTAGAATTAAAGTGAAAAGGCCTGACGGTCAGAGTCGGAGCGCCTCATAGCCAGTCCTGGGTTGTTCTGTTTTGTTTTTTTCAGCCTGGCAGATGGAACCAAAGGCCTCATGCATGCTAGACAAGTGCTCTACCACTAAGCTACATCTCCAGCCCCTGGCTTTTATTTTAAGTACAGTTTTTTTTTTTCTGGAGTTGCTAGCAGCACTGCAGTGGGCTAGAGGGACTGGCACCTTTAACAAGGGGTACTTCTCATTGGCAACCTTGGGAAATGCGGGTTGGGAGGGGATAATCTGGGGTGACGGGATCCCGCCATAGTCCTTCTAAGAGGATGACAGAGACCTACAGAATGCCCCGCAGGACCCTCAAACCCACCGCCCAGTCTGCCCCAACGGGACCCCTAGTACTTACAGTCCTCCAACTGGGGGCCTGACGAGAAGGAACTGGACGGAGAGAGCTCAGATCTGGCACACCTCCCAGGCCGGGGCGTCCAAACCTCCCTCCAGGCCTGGGACGCCGGGTTTTATAGACCGGAGCTACCCGGGGGGTGGGGGGAGCAGGAGGCGGGCCAGGGCGGCGGGGGGGTGGGGTGGGCTATCCCCTTGCTGCACCCTCCGCTGCGCCCCCTGCGCGGCCCAAAGGAGCCGCTGTCGCGCGTGGCCCTGCGGCTCCTGTTGGTGGCGGCGCTCGCTAGGGCGCTGGGGGCGCCCCAGGCCACCCCTCGCCCGGGCTGTCACCGAGATCCTGGGTCCCTGGAGAAGAGTGGAGCGGGCAGCGTCTGTAGGGGATACGCAAGAATTTCTTGCCCGAGCCACTCGCAGACGCAAGGCTTTATTTAACCCCTGCTGCCGGAGCGAGCGGGGACGGTGGGGTATCCGACCCGACACCCCCTCTCCTGGTCTCGTCTGATTCGCCCGGGCTGAGAAGGGGCTGCGTGAAGGCTAAGGAAGGGGATTTGTAAAGAACTTTGCAAAGGGCGAGGCGGTGTCCCACCTCTCCCCGAGCGCTGGTTGGGAACTGCGCGGGAAGGGAATTTTTACTTTTCCCACTCTGCCCTCGCTCCACCTCCACCAGTGTTCAATCCTTTCAGGACTGAAAGGGGCAGAACCCGCACCCCCGGTGTGTGCACTTGGACGGGTCACGGCACGGCGCGGCGCGGCTCCGGCCCCGCGCCCGGGCCGCGAGGGGGCGCGGGCGGGGTGGGGCGCAACCCGCAGGGCCGCAGCCCAGAGCTCCCCTCCCCAGAGCTGCTGCGGCGGCGAAGAGGCCACCCGCCCTCCAGGGGGCGCTCCGTCGCCCCTCGCCCTCCGCTTCGTCCGTCTGTCCCCTGTCCATCGCTGCCCCCGCCTTCCGCAGCCGTCACCCTGTTCTGCCCTCGTCTCCGAGTCTCACCGTCTCTGCTCACTGGCTCTGGCTCCCCGCCTTCTCCCCGTCCCTATCCTGTCACACGCGCGCAGGCACAGGCCATAAAAGGCAGTCGAGGCAGTGGGCTGGCCCCGCTCCAGGTCGGGGATACCCGGCTCCTGCTCCCCGCGAGAACCGGATTCGAGGTTCCCGGGCCTGGCCGAGCCGAGCCGGACCCCGCCGGTCCTCCCTCCACGGGCGCTGGGCGGGAGACAACCCAAAAAGGCCAGGCGAGGGATCCTTCCTCCAGGAATTCCCAGCGCCGCATACCAGCCCGGGGCTGCCCGTTCCGTTCCCCCTGACTAAATATGGTGCGAGCGGCCTCTGGGTGCTGCCGCCTGGGGACGAGGGCTTCATGCTGCGCGGGCCCCCGCAGGATGAGCCTCGGAAAATCCCCTAGAGATGCCGCCCGGGGCGGGAAGGGTCCACTCTGCTCGGAGCAGAGCCGGGAACGGGTACCGCCCCAACACCCATATGGGTCCCAGCTGCTTCAGGGCTTTGGGGGAGAGGGTTAAAGGAGCTGGGAAGAGCCTACAAGTCCTCCCCTTTTCAGCAACCCCGCCCCCTGCAAAGGCTTCTTAATATCCCCAGTTTGCAGGTGAGAAGACTGAACCCCAGAGGAATTCGTTGGGCCAAACGTGGATTGACCCTGGTACTTTTTGATACCGTGGTTCTTTCTGGGCTGAGGTTGTAGCTCCGTGGTAGAGTATTTGCCTACCATGCACAAGGCCCTGAATTCCATCCCCAGCACTGCCAAAAGAATAAGAATTTGGAACTGTGGGTAGGGTGGATTCAGTGGTAGAACTCTTGTCTGTCATGTTCGAGGCCCACAGCTCAATCCACAGCAAGGCAAAAACCAAACCAAATCAAACCAAACCGTGGTTCACTTCCAGACAAGAGGCATTCAAAGGTAATGGCCAGGTGAAGGCCATGGGCAGGATTCTGAGGTTAGAGGTCCAACTTTGAATTTGCCAGTGCCACTTTCTGTTTGACCATGGGCAAATAATTTTGCCTCTCTGTGCCTCCATTTCCCTACCTATTAAAAGGGAAGAATGCCAGCTATTTCCTGGCTTTCTGGAAGCAGCCCATGAGGTGACATGAAAGAGCCATAGGGCACTGCTTCATGTTAGCTGCTGTTCTCAACAAACACGAAGCCAAGGCAAGCTGCACCAGGCCTGGGGACGTACAAGAGCCCACACTTCCCAGTGGTTCCTGCTGCCTCCAGCCTCTCTGCAGACAGAACTCGGCCTCGCAGTCCCTCTTGGCTCCTTCTTCAGCACTCCCACTCAAGTTCACCTGGTTTTCATCCTTGAGACCATGTGAGCCCAGCCCCTCCCTCCAGTGGCCTGCACCAGAGAGCCAAGAACAGCCAGGATCCAGCTGGCTGGGCAAGTTGGGGGTGAAGCTCTCTGGAAAGTGATAAATGACCTGCTTCCTCACATGCCTTTTCACATTTACACTGTAAAAGGAGTGGAAATTGTCCCTGCATTCAAGGAGAAGCAAAGGATAGGGAAGGGCTGAAGCTGATCGTCATCTTCCCATCCTGGAAAGATGGTCCAGAGCAGCTGTCCCAATCGATTGACAACAGGCCTTTCCACCGCAAGCCTTAACCTTCTTACTTTAGCAGGGGTTATGGGTGATTCTTTAAAGAACTTGTTGGTAGCTTTAGAAAGAATATGTTATTAAGTGGAGATTTCGTAGCAAACACTCAATTTTACTGCATCCTCTCATCTAATCCTTCTAGTGCCGAGTATGATGTAGGCCCAAGTTGTAGAGGTTAAATAAGAGGGCCAAGGTGGCACAGAAATTAGTGGTGGAGCAGGAATTTCAACCCCATCCTGTGTGATACAGAGCCCACAGTAATAGGCAGAAATCTGACACTTCACCCCCAGATCAGCTAAGCACCAGACAAATAGCTTCTGAATCATGGGTGAACCTCTGAGCCTGTTTTCTCAGAAAACCAAAGATCAGACTCTGTCTCAACCACCTCACTGGGTCAAATGACAGCTTTAAGCTTTCTATAAACTATTTCCTACCTTCCTGGCATGCTGTAGAAGTATCCAGACAGTACATTTGCTGAACACTTACCCAATAAATATCTGTCCAATACACAAAATTCAGATGGTTGAATCTTTAAGTACATTGTTCTACAAATTAAATCAGGTGCCTGTTTTATTTCTCATGGCTCAAAAGGTCAGTTGTTTTAAGACTTTTGAGGAAAAAAATTACTTTACAAAATGTCACTCTGACTGAATGCTGTAAAGTAATTTTCCTTTGCTTGTCTTTTCTGTGGGGGGCCGACTAATGAGAATTTTCATAAACTCATGAAACAAAATGGCAGAGGGGAATTTTCTCTCCTGGAGTCTTTTTTAATAAAATAGCTCTTTATTTGCTGCTGGCTCCAAAAAGCCCCCAAGTGTGATCCCTTCCAATTTAGTACTGACAAAGATTGGGTCCAAGCACGGTTTACTTCTGCATGTACTCTGGGATTTCATTACTTAAAAGTGTATCAGGGGGCCAGGGATTTAGCTCAACAGCAATGAGCCTGCCTCACAAGCACAAGGTCCTGAGTTCGATCCCCGGTATTGGAAAAAAAAAAAAAAGTGTATCAGCTCAAAGGAATCAATTCAAGTCCATCTGGCCCACAATCTGCCTCTGTGAAGACAGGAACATAATTTCCGATTACAAGCACAGCTCAGCTCCAACTGTCCTGCACAAGAACATGTTTCATTTCATTCACAGTGGCCCCATGTTCCTCCAGAGCCAAGACTGCATTGTAGCTATGTGCTTCGCTCCTTCCTTCATCACCAATTTTCAACTTTTGTCTCTCAGCAGCAACTACAGATTCTCTAAGGAAGGGTCCTAAACTCTCAGAAAAAGTAGTCTTACAGTTTTTTACAAAACCAACCATACTTTTACCATTTGTTCCAGCATCACACTTCTTGGGGATTTACCCAAAGAAGTTGAAAACTTTTGTTTGTCCACACAAAAATCTGCACATGGATGTTTATGGCAGCTTTAAATTTGCCAAAACTGGGCCATGGATTTGGCTTACTGGTTTCACTGCCTGCTGCACAAGCTCAAGGACCCGAGTTCGATCCCTGGTACCAAAAAAAAAAAAAATTTGCCAAAACTTGGAAGCAACCAGGATATCCTTTGATAGGTGATGGATAAATAACAGTGGAATATTACTCAGGGCTAAAAGGGAAAGTGATCTGTTAAGTCATGAAAGCTTGAATCTTAAATGTACATTCCTAAGGAAGCCAATCTGGAAAGGGTATCTACTGCACAATTCCAGCTATACAATGTCCTACAGAAGGCAGGATAGGCACAGCACAGAGGATTGTAGGGCAGTGAAATTATGCTGTGTGATACTGTAGTGGTGAGTAAATGTCAGCATACATTTGTCCAAAACCATGAAATGACAAGTGACCCCTACTATGACTGGAGGTGAGGATGATGTCACCGTACTCAGCCACTGTAACAAACGTGCCATGCTGGTGCAGGAGGTGTGGGAGGCCGTGCACGAGCGGGGAGGAGGGGTAGATGGGAGCCCTACACTGTCCACTCAACTGAGCTGTGTGCCTACGACTGCTCTACAAATCAGATCTATTTCTAAGAAGGTAATTTTATCCCATTTTGATTTTTAAAAAAATTCATGAAGCCCACATAATCCTTGCATAAATAGTTGTTACAAGAATCAAATACCAAGTGGCTGGGAAGTATTGTCCTAAATGCCTTTAAAGGCATATTCTCCCAACTGTTGGACCTTCATGTACACTTGGCTTAGGTTAAAAGAACAATCAAGTTTACGTAATCACACAGGCATGTGAGTCACATACAAATGTGTTCTCGCACATAATTACAAAGCTATTAATTTATTCTATGAAAACGTACATGCTCCACTTCAATTTGTCATCTTCAAAAGCTATCTCTGAGCCTGTTATGAGGCTTTAGATTGCCCAGATTTTAAACCTCCGCCTCTCATAAACCCTTCCTTCATTTCAATTCCCATACTATTTTTATGGAAATCTGTTTTTGGTTTTATTTCGAAAACTTCTCCAGCATTGCTAGATGATAATTTCTCCCAACTCCCTGCCCCAAAACACCCAGCAAGGTAGTGATATTGAGTTTATGAGTAGCCCGATGGGTTGTCCATACTTTAATCCTTTGTTCAACATACATGTATTAAGTCTTTTATTGTTTTAAATGTCTCAGCCCATACACTTTTTAAAGTGATTGACACTTCAAAAATCCCAAGCACAGAAATTTCTAGAGTAGACTTTCTCAACTTTTAAGAATATAAATCCTCATTTTTGGATAAAAATCTTGTAGTGTTTTGAAAATAGATGCTTTTGTCTTTTCCAACTTGCTTTTTGAAACCGTAGATTATGATGCCATCCCCAGAGACCGACCACAGAAGACCCCATCCCTGACAGCCTAAGAAGAGTAGCTTTCCCAGGGGTACGGCTGACACCAACTACGCTCCACCAGCCCTATGCCACTCTCTCCAACAGCGAGCTTTCTGAGGGCCCCAACCACAAGCCCAGAGAGGCAGCCCCAAACCTCTTTCTGATTCTTAACAACAGAACATTCTTTACAAAAAAGTGAGGTAATTTTTAAATTAAATAATACACTCAAAGTATAAAATGTGCCTAGGCACAAACAAGGTACAGAACAATGCATACAAAAAGCACTATGGACTACATGTGATGATTTTAGCATTCATGATGATGATTTTATATCAGCATCCAACATTATAAACTCTAGCATTTTTTCTTAATCTAGTCCTACATGATTGCAATTCCTGAGGTAAACTTAACATCCTTGGCTGTAAACCAAGTCCTTTGGGAAAATTCAGATATTTAGATTCCCACATACAATACAATGCAATTCATAACTGTAATCAGATATTGGAGATTTAAAAATGGAAATGGGCTCTTAAAAGACTGCATCTATATGTAAAATGTGTAGTTTAAAATGGTATCATTAATATTTTTCTGGAGCTGGGAGTGTAGCTCACTGGTAGAGCACTTACCTAGTGTGCTCAAGGCCCAGGGTTCAATCCCCAGCAGCACAAAAAAAAAATTTTTTTTGCATTTTGATAAAAATTCTTAAATCTATAAGGAGTAACACTTACTAACATCAAAAGTTTCCCTAACTTTCAAAGTCAGCACAGTCCTAGCACCCTATGAGGACTCTGGCTCTGCCCTGTGGAAGACACTTCCACTGCACTCTGCCAGTTCTCCAGCCAGCCCAGGACGCTGCATTCAGAATATCCCCGTGGCTCTGGCCAATTAGCACTGTCTAGTACCACAGCTGCTTCTGTGAGGTGAGTCTGTTGCTGCTGCACTATAAAACTTCCCCAATAAATATCAAGAGCATTTAGAGATAGTACTGGAAAAGCTCTCACTCTGTTTCAATCCAAGAATGAAGACTGATCTTTAATCAGCCTTTCAGAGCCCGAGGAAGAAGCGGCCAGCCCTTTAGACTGCATCAGTAGTTACACAACCGAGAGCCACAGGGCGCTTAAACAATGCCATCTATTAAAAGTCACTCTCTGGTGTTTCTCCCCAAGCCTGTGTCTTTATGCGTATTTTACATTCTTCCTATAATAAACTCTTTGTTTTACTTACAGCAAAATTAAAAGAATGATTTCCCCCTCTACCTTTTAATTAAATCTCCCAGTAGAAGCCAAAATGGTCTAAGGAAATAAAAAGAACATTGTTACCTAGTTTAAAAGGTCAATTTTAGGTAGTAATTCAGCTATTCCATCTAATTATGAAGGGTTAAATGAAAAACAGCTACTTTTAAAATAAAACAAACTTTACAGGAATTAAGGTTTTTCTGGCTATAATGTTCTTTTAACTTCCTTTTAAAAACACGAATGAATTTTCCTACAAATCCACATAATTCAAGTTGAAGAAAATGTAATTAATGTGCTATGTCAAAAAGCAGGACACATGGATAAAAATCTTTTTTAGAAGAATATACAAATTACTGAAAAACTCATTTTTCACAAACTTAAAAAACTTTTTCAATATTTCCTAAAAACAATGTATTTTCTTTCCAGTCACATCCCATAAGGCAGATGACAGCTTTTATTCACAAATGCAGTGAAACATGGGGGTCTAAATGTTTGCAGAAACTCAAATTTCTACAAAACACAAATAAAGGTGCATACTGGTAACACTGAGATAATAAGTTATTCGGTACACGTCATGGTGAGATGAAAGACGCCCTAAGAGACGCGTCATCTCCTCACTGCTGGGAAGCACGGAGCTCCTGGACACTGGTGCTCGGGCCCCTCTCCTTTCCCAGCGGGCCATCTGGAATGAACAGAAACAATACAGTCGAGTCAATACAGGGAGCCAGGCAGATACACTGACACGTATTTTAGGATGCTGTCTATTTTGAGTTTAGAAGGTGGTTTAAGGCAAATTTTTTTAAAAACCCTAATTTCTTAAATGCCCTGTAGAAAACCAGAAATATTTGGTACTCACTCTAATTATTCAAAAGTGTTTGACTTGTTTGTTAAGTGAACAGAGTGCAGCACGGAGTAAACCCCTGTGTGCAGAGTTACAGGCCTCTCTGATGTGTAAGGAATGGAATTCACAAAAAGAACAAGGTGTTCACTGGGCATGCTGAGGACTCCAAAGCCCTTCAACTGAAAAACAAAACCTTCAAATCCTCCCAGCTGCACCCTCTTGTGGCAAGAAAAGAAACAGGCCCTTTACATCTTCCTGCCAAAATTGTAAAACTATCTGGGGAAATTGTGGGCAATGTTTTTAAAAGCCAAAAAGAAAGACAAAAGCTCCATAAGAGGTCAGGGGAGCCTAGAACCCGTAACCACTGATAGCACTTGGGCAACAGCAAAGATGGGCGCCTCCACTCAGTTTCTTGTCACAGGAGTGTAAGACTAACGGATAGAAGTGCTCTAGATTAGAAGAATCCAGAGACAATATTCAAAGACAACATGAAATGCAAAGCAAAAACTAGATTCTTGAAACTATGTAGGGCCCTCGGCCTCCAAACACTTTTACAAGGGGAAAAAAACACTTTTATGTGACAATTTAGGTAACAGAAGACAAAGAAGCCAAATTCAGATAAGCTACTGGAAAAAGTTCAATTTTCACACTCAATTTTCTACTCCCTGAGACAATGTGATCTCCCACAGGGTTCCAGATCCTCCACAGCTCATCAGCCCCAAGACTAAGGCCACTTTCTACGTCTGGGTAACAGATCAAAATCTCTCCCCACCAGTCCCGGCAACTTTGCTAACAAAAATTAACAATTTCCCCAGAGCATAATGATTTTAGGTCTTTTGGAAAAGTCCTATTTTAAAAGCTAAGTCTTTTCGTGTGTGTGGTATTGGAGATCGAACCCAGGGGTGCTCTACCACTGAACCACACTCCCTCTCCCCACTGCACAGGCTGGGTTCCAACCTGCAATCCTTCGCCTCAGTCTCCAAATTGCTGGGATTACACATGTGCCCACTGTCTTCAACAGAAGTCTATTATTTTTGTACTTGACAGTGCAATAAAGTTGAGCTGGTAAAGGTCTTTTCTGTTATAAAAATCTCATCTCTTTTTTCCCATCTTGTCCCTTTTGAATTTAAAAAAAGTTTATTTATTATTAGTACATGTTTGTAGTACATAATGTTTACACTCCTTATGGGGCACTGGTTCATATACATAATGAATCTTAACTCTGGTTTTCATCCCCTTCCCCTGCCTCCCCTCTACCCATCTCTTTACTCCCCACCCCATTTTTGTACCTGTTTGCAATATGTACTATTTACATTCCTTGTGGAGTTGGCACAAGTAGAGCAAAAACTACTTTGCCTCCAAGATTACAAATGCTAAGAGCAGCAGGACTCATGAATTTCCAAGGTGAATGTGCCTCTACAAATCATTTTCAGGTTTTTTTGAGCACTTTGAAAGGTTTCATGAAAGAAGTGTTTTCATTTCGGCATGCTTCAGACTTATTTTCAAATAAAAGCATGCTTCATTTTACATATTTCATTTTAGTGTCATATATCGCAGCTGGCTAAGCTTATGTAGAGAGAAGGTGCTGTAACCTGGATTATCACTGTATTACATTCACAACCTTTTCAGTGCTGTCAAAGAATAGTTATGCAGCTTCAGAAATTAAGCCAGAGAGTAAGTGCAATGCCTATCTGTGTTCCTGAAACATGATGTAAAAATTTGGCTGACAAGTCTTCTCAAGTCATTGCACTGAGTCACTGCATTATTATGCCAAAAAAATTTTTGATGATCAAGAAAATAATTTACAAAATCATTGCTCTCATCCCACCAGTTCACTGGTCAGCCTCATTTCTGAGCTTTTCAAGAACTCAAACCTGCTTTAAGGACTCACAGTCCTCTCCTGGATGTATTCTGGCACTTTATATGTCAAAGTGTTTCTGTTCTTCCCGCCATCTCTCTTCTTCCATCCCTTCCCTACCTGTGGCTTAAGGTTACAAGTAGCTAATCTGTGACTTTTATCTCAGAACAGAATTTGGATGAAATATTGTTACTTCTAAGTTTCTTTTTTTTTTTTAAATTAAGTTCTTTTATTGGTACATTGTAGGTATACAACACAATTACATTTCTCATTGGGAATTGTACCTTTACATAATGCATCTTGGTTCTTATTTTTACTTCTAAGTTTCTTAATATACTTACTAGTATAAATTTAAGGAGATTGATTATAAAAAGCTTAAAAGTCAGAAAAGTTATTTCTCAAGAGGTTATTTTTCCTTATGGTACTAAATCAATGTCTTGGGGTTGCTATGTTAATAAATGTTAACGTGTCACCACTGGTTACAACTGAATACTGTCATGTAGTTTTGGTATAGAAACTGGGAAAGCCTTTTTGGAGGGGAATTAAATAACATGTACTCTATTTTTAAATATGCATTTGCTTTGAACCTGCAGTTCTACTTTGGGCATCCACACAAAAGAAATACTTGTATGTGTGGCCAAAAACACACTGTCACATTATAATACTATAAAAAAATGATGACAGCAATACCATGGAACACTACACAAAGATCCACAGGCACTGACAAGTTAAAAAAGCAAATTTCAGGATAATACACAAAATAATGGTGCATATATACTTAACTACACAGAAACTATCTCTGAATGATACCTCCCAAAATGTTGACAGGGTATGTTCCATAAAAAGAAGGAGGATTGTGGGGTCAGGGAGAGGCAAGTAGGGGAGAGGTTAAAGGATCTTTATATTATTTTAAATTTTTTGAGATTTATTGAAGTAGTTGAACAATTACTGCTTTATTTTGCTTTTAAAGTATTTGACAAATACAAGGCACAAGGGTCTGTTCCTTACCAATTCCTGAAAAGAGAACCTGGAAGCATTTTCCATAATCTGAAAAGGAGCAGCATACTGGAATGGCAACTAGACGTGCTGACTGTTAACTACCATCTGCTACGGGCCTCTTAGTCTTGGTTGTCTCAACTGTAAATAAGTGGGAAAATTTTTTTTCCAATGTTCCATCCAGCTCGGAACTATAAGATACACAGAAGGATAATTCCTAGTGAACTCAGAAATAATCTTCAAAAGAGAGGTTATCCTATTCACAAATATTTTGTTTTCAGATCTTAAGAGACACCAAATATCTAATAAGGTCAAATATCAGTCAGAGCAGCTTAGAAAAGCTACAAATGGCAATATACATTTTAGGTGGTTGCTAAAAATTTTTTTCAACCTTCAAGAGTTGTAACTGTGGCGCTCGGGGTGTAGTCCAACGGTAAAGCACTTGCCTAGCACGCATGAAGCCCTGGGTTCAATCTCCAGTACCACAAAAAAAACGGTTGCATTTGTTCTGCTAATGAGATGCCTGGGCCCCACTATAACCGTCCTTGGTAGAAGAGATGGGTGTCTCCCATGGCCGGAAACACTGGGCTATAATCCACTCAACCCAGGGGACCAAACTGAGGTCCTACCACTGATGTGATCAAGACTGCTGAAATCTCATTTTAACAGCGAGCTTTCTGAAAACAAAGTATGGGCCATTCTAAGAATCTATTATCTGTAAATAACTACCACCTATCATAAAAAGTACCCTGAAAACACAAAGGACACATACACCTGTGTCTTTTCCATCTGTGTTTGGCACTCTTGTCTTTTATTTCTCAGCCTTTGGAAAAAACGATCATTTCATTTAAAAAACTACATGTAGAATGTTACGGATTATGACTAAAAATGTATGTGAAAATCAGGTTTTTCAATATGGTCATACAGCAATAATCTCTAAGAATTTTTTTCAGTTATTCACCTGCTGCTTTTAAGATTTGCTTTCCAAAAAGCATTATTTTTGGAGGTTAAGTAACATAGGCTAACTATATTAGACATAAGCAGAATTAAACTGTGACTCCAAGGCTCAGGAAAAGCTCCTCTAAGGATAAAACTGCACAGGAAGGAAAATACACTTGCGGAAGCTAAATGGAGAATCGCAGGGAACTCATACCCTCTTGCTTTCTCCCACTAGGCGGCCTGCCAAGATCTGGGTTTGGAGGCTGAAGTGAGGACCCTTTCAGGAGTGCGCTTCGGATGCCATCCTTGGTGCCGTGCAAGAAGTGAGCTAAAATTCCATATAAAAGAGGTCTAAGGTGGGGAGAAAGTAAAAAGAAAAAGTCAATTAACTTTGCATTACAACAAAACAGCTTAAAACAATTACGCTCGGATACCAAAATGGCCAAGTAATTCACTAGACTTTAAAGAGTTGGTTCTCCAAGTTGCAAACTGTTCAGTCTTAAACATAAAAGTACCACTTACATGTGGCTCAGGGCTGTAATCCCAGCACTCTAGGAAGCTGAGGCAGGAGGACTGAAAGTTTGAGCCCAACCTGGACTTAGCAAATTAGCAACCCTGCCTCAAAATAAAAATGTTTTAAAGGGTTGAGGATGTACCTCAGTGAGATGGCCCTGGAATCGATCCCCAGTATTAAAAAACAACAAACCATAGAGAAAATATGTTAACAACTTAAAATTCATTTAAATTGAAATACAATTTCAATTTATAGGGATTCAGCTCTTAAACTCCAAGCCCAGGACAATATTCCAGTGTCTATCACTGTCTGACATGCACCAGGTGTTCATCCAGTAAAACACTGTTGACAAATCACTGACCAGAAATGTGCTCATGTCCTACAGGCTATACTGGCTGGGTTCAAGACCTGGCTTTGCCGCTTGTCAGCCACGAAGCCTTGGGGGGATTCACTAACCTCATAATAAATGTTTCCTCCTCTATAAATGTGGATAAGCATAATCCCTATGCCACAAGGTTTTTAGGCAGTAAATAAGTTAATAAATGTCATATTTAGAACTGTGCTTGGCACAAATTACACGGTCCATAAATGATTGCTACACAAGAGGGGTAATGTTTGCAAAGCTACTGTACAGTTTACAAATCACTCTTACCTTTGTTTATCCTCAGTTTGTGATGTCATAATCATTATCCCCAACTTATAAATGAGAAAATAAGGGCCTAGGAAAGATTTGTTAGAGTCCTTCTGAGGATTTATGCTTATACCACCAAATGCCATATTCTTTTTTGCATAACATGCTTCCTGGGCACCCTTGCACAAATGAAAGCTGCTTAGCTGACAACTCAGACGCATCCCCCTTGGTTTCCAATCTCATCAGTGAAGATACAATTATCTAGATTTATTTTTTGAGATTTTGAGATTAGTTGGTCTGACACTCCCCCCCCCCTTTTTTTTTTTTTTTTGGTACTGGAGATCAAACTCGGGTCCTTGCACTTGCAAGGCAGGCGGCAGAACCACTGAGCTAAATCCCGGCCCTGACACTCCCTTCTTAAACAGAACCTAACTGCCCTTTTCGTGAGCTGAATTCTTTTTTTTGAGCAGGGTCTCACTATGTAGTTCAGGCTGGCCATGAACTCCCTATGTAGCCCAGGCTGACCTCAAACTTATACACTGATCCTCCTGCCTCAGTCTCCCGAGTGCTGGGATTACAGGTGTGTGCCACCACACCTGGCCCGAACTCACTTCTAACACACAGAATAAGGTGTTAAGTGACAGTGGCTTTTTCCTTGCTTTCTCTCTTGGATCACTGTCGCTGAGGGATGGCAGAAGTCTGAGGTCGTTCACCAGTCCCATGAGAGGAACATGCACTGAGGAACTGAGGCCTCCTCAGCAGCAGGATGAGAGGGCTGTGTGGAAGCAGCACCACTGGCCCCAGTCAAGTGTGCAGAGAACCACACCTCGAGAGGGCCCGAGCCAGACTCACGCAGTGGAGCTCATCTCCCAGGTATCCCACACACAATACAGGTTTGCTGTTTAAGCCACCCAATTCTGGGGTAATCTGTTAGGCAGGACAGTAAATTCCTCTAACATGATGCCTCAACTCTCAGGAAAGCATCACCTAGGGATATAAAATACATCTTTGTTTACTTTAAGTTAACCTTTTTCCAGCATCAGTTGTTTCAAGATAATTGCTTAATTTTAAACTTTTTAACATACAATAAAATTTACTTAAGTTTTAAAATGTTTAAATTACATATTTCAAATTATTAGAAAATACATAATTAGTACGTTTAACCTAAATTTTAAGGACATTAAGGTTTATTTTTTAAAAAGGTCATTTAAAGAAAAATATAGCCTACCTAGGTGTGGTGGTGCACACCTGTAGAGGCTGAGGCAGGAGGATCACTTAAAGTTCAAGGCCAGCCTAGGCTACATAGTGAGTTCAAGGCCAGCATGAACTAATAGCAAGACCCTGTCTCAAAAAACCAAAAATAAAATAAAATAAATAAAAAGAAAAGAAAAGAAAAGACAATACAGCCTCAGAATACCTTACCTGCAATTCTGGAAAGCAAAACCTCTGAAAACTAGAATTTTCTTCCTATACTAGGCACATACCCATTTGGTATGGCAGCCCAGCTTTACCTAACATAGAGTTATTAGAGACTTTACTAGGTATGAAAATTCTCACATTTTACTAAAAAATATAAATGTGACTATAGAGTGCCACTTTAGACCCCCTACTGTATACTTGCTATTTGTTATAGGTACCATATTACTTTTTAAAATCTGAAACCTGGACTTTCAAGACACACCTGGCCTCAAGTGTTTTTGATCAAGCACTGCACATCTGTACTAATAAAATGAGCGGCAGATGGATACAGCAAGGTGTGAGCATAAGTCACTGAAGTCTGAGAAAAAAGGTATTGAAGCCCCCCAACTTTGTGGAAATAAAGCCATCATCAATTTAATACTCTCACCTGCAGCAAATACCTCAAAGCCACCAAGAAGCCAGCAGGCATGTGACAGGCGCCCATTCCCAACCACCGCTAAATCCAAACTGACGCCTTCTGTTTGAACAAAGCAATACCTCACTGCTCATCCCAAGTCACAGATTCCACCAAGTTATTTTTTCCCAGTGTTCTCAACTATAGTACTTATATATTTTGCCAAAATTATCAACATCTATGCTTTTTAAAGTGTTACCCACTTTTGGTTTAACACTGAAATATATAAATGCAGTGATTAACTGTACCCATGAACATCTATGTGAGCATCACATGTACAGGATGTGAATGACTGTGGCAAAAAAGGATTCTTCTGTCGAGCAAGCCTGAAATCCTAAGTTTCAGTGCAGGATTTCCCAGAGTAACTGCTTCAATAGTGTACATCATGAATCTCCAAGAGGGATGTGGTACCGCCAGGCTTTCCTTTTCGGAATCCCTTTGGTGGTGAACATCTCAATGAACAAGTACAGTATTTCCATGGATCACACTCTGGGAACAGCTGATTCCCAGATGAAACACTGAAGAAAACAGCATTCAACTGTCTGATCTCCAGAGTCGACCACAGTGTCTGACACAAAGCAAGTACTCAAATATTTTTAAGTGTAATAGCAAAACACTGGAAACAACCTAAATCTCTATTAATAAGATAATGTATAACTTGATTACAGAACATAGACAACTATAGAACTGTTTAAAACAAAAAGGAAAAAAAACCCAAAAAAACCCAAAAAGGAAAAACATGGTTATGCCAGGGAGGAATGAGAATAGGAGAGGTGGCCTTCAAAGATGTCCCTAACACTATGTAGTTAAAAATCTCAAAGACAAAGTATAACATTCCAAGTCTGAGAGGAAAGAACTGAGACGTCTGTTAATCACTCTGTGCTTCTCTATATGTCTCAAATAATTCATAATCTTAAAAAGATGAACATTAAAAAAAAAGATGAACATTTATATATGCTGGCATGAAAAATAAATTGTTGAAACACAATCCCTTATATATGTAAAGAAAATATACCTTGATGTGCCTTAAATATAGAGTAGCTGGGAGTGGTGGCACATGCCCAGAATACTTGCACTCTAGCAGGCTGAAGCAGAAAGACTGCAAGTTTGTACCCAGCTTGGGCAACTTGGTAACTTAGCAAAAACCTGTCTATAAATGCATGAATGAATGAGTGAATGAATGCCTGGATATGTAGTTCAGTGTGGAAGTCCTAGTACCTCTTCCCCCCAAAAAAGCAATTTCAAGAGTTACTTTTCTAGGTAAATACATTGTTATAACAATGTTTCACTAGTGCATTATCCCCAAAGTGTACTTATTCAGATTATTTTCTATTCTAGATTTAAAATGTAGTATAATGGCAATTATCTTCCTTGTTAATCAGATTAACACTGCTGCTAGATACTTTTGCAGCTATTTAATATTAACGTGAAGATTTTAAAGAAAAAAGATTTTTAAAAAAGAAAATACAAATCAATGGAACCAAGTTAAAAAAGGTTTTCTTAGCTGGGCATGATGTTGCCTGCCTGTAATACCAGCACTCAAGAGGCTGAGGCAGGAGTATCACAATTTGAGGGTAGCTGGGGCTACATAACAAGTTCAAAGTCAGCCTGAACTATATAACAAGATCCTGCCTAAAAAACAAAAACCAGAAATGTTTTCCTTTTTTCTTTATCGAGATCACTGATTTTATAAAAAATTTTCTTGGTTCAATGTAATAAGCATTTTATCTTATAAAGAGCCCTGTGAGATACCATGACAGACAGAAAACATTTCAGTCTCTTCTCTTAAAGATTCCTGCCTAGTGGAAGAAAAAGCAGACAGTTAACTTTAAGAAAGAATGAAATATATGTGTAACAAAAGTATAATCAAATCTTAAAGAAAAAGAGAAACTTTAACTGGAAGAGGAAGAGAAAACTATCATAAAAGAGTTAGTATCTGAGCAGGATCAGTAAGATGAAAGATGCTCCCACAGGGGTTAAGAGGAAGAAGAAAGTATTCTTGGCCAGGGAACACTGCATGCAAAAGCAAGCAAGCGGAAAGGTGCACGATGTCTCCGTGGGATATACAACAATGTGTGAGCAGAGCCAATTAGAGACAAAGGTAAACCGATAGAGGCCTAAAAGACCGTGCAAAGAACTGGGACATGTCACGTACACAATGGAGTTACATTTTTAAGTAATGCAGTGACTATCTTAGACAAGCTGGAAAGGTAAAACATAAATTGGAAAAGAAAGTGACTGGAGATAAACTAGTCAAGGTTAAAGAGCACAGCATAGGGCAGTGAGAATGGCTAGGAGGTGGCGCAGAGGCAGAATCAATGGGATTTTAAAAGGGATTAGTAGAGAAAGGAGAATGAATCAAAAACGTATGGAAATCTTGAGTTTAAAACCTGAGTGACTGTATGAGGAACCTATGGGGGGTGGTGAGGAAATGAAAATAACACATTTGGTTTCTGGCCACACTGTCTGAGACAGCAGCAGAAACATGGGCCCACAACTGGGAAGACTGTCCAGATTTAAAGCAGTCTCAGGCAGGCACCCTTAAAGACTCAAAAGTACTTAGAAAAGGAGGTGGGGACAAGGAGAAATGAAAGAGGAGGGCAGTGGGGGTTCTCACAATTTAAAGGAGCCTAACACAGTCAACAAAGAGATGGCAAGCACCATTAGGGAGACAGGGAAATAAAGACAGTAAAGAGTCATAAATAAATGACAAAAAGCATTCTAAGAAAGAGGCATCAACATAAAATGCTGCAGAAACTCAAAACTGAGCTTCTCACACTGGCAGCACTCACACACCCACTGTTAGTACGAGGAGCTTGCCACAAAGCACAGCCTAAGGCAGCTGAGACTTGCAGGAGTTAAATTTAATTGGCACGAAACTTAAAACATTCCACGGTAACACAAACACAGTTATGCCATGAAGGAGAATGAAATATTCAATCAACTTTTCTAAAGCCTTCAAAGAAGCATCTTGCTAGAGAAGGTTGCTTTGAGCTATGTACTCAGTCCAACTAGGGTGTTGTTGTTGTTGTTGTGTTTTGTTTTCTTTTATACATTCAGGTACCTCTGGAAAAGTTCAAGAAACAATTACATAGGAAAAGAACTAAGAAACTACCAGAAAGTGGTCACCCTTCTTTTTGAGGTATAGTTTAGTATAAATGGCCAGGGGAGAATTTAAGATACAGAGAAGGCAAAAGAGGGGAGAGCAAAATGATAGTGGGGAATAGCCGCAGTATATCTGCAGTAAAATAAATAAATAAATCAATAAATAAATCAAACAAAACAATGAGAAGTAGCATGGAGTTAGGAGTTGACAGGTTTTTAGGAGATAGCTAAGTTCATCTATAAGTTGAAGTGAAGGAAGCAGTGAGGAGAAAGAGTCAAGTATGAAAAAGAACATGAGAAAGCAATGACTGGGAAGATAAATGGACCAAGAAGCCAAGAGGAGTTACCTCAGAAAGAAGTGGAGCCACAGGAATCTCAGCTCCAGCAGAGACCCTGTCTGACCTGTTCTAGTGCAATGCTTGACACACACTCGATCTGAGTAAGTATCTGATGAATTAGAATGAAACATAACCACCGCTATGCAATTATGACTCCAGTTCAACATCTGAAAACCTATTCAAAAAAGCTTCTTACATTGTGTTATCTTTTGATTCTTCGAAGGCATTTAGTTCACGGATGAGAAATTGTCTGTCCAGTGGAACTACAGGTTGACCAGACTCTGGGGGGAAAAAATTCATGAGAACACTGAGTCTATTAATCTAAAAAGCACATATGACTTTGATAATAACCATACTTACCAGTTATATACACTTTTCAGATTTTCAAAGAATGATGACAGCACACACCCAGCCAGATCCAACTGCATATGATTTTATAACTTCCAAAAACCCATTTTGTTAAATGCATAGTTCAATATAGTTTAACATAAATTCACCTTGTTTTGTTTGTTTGTTTCTTGAGACAGGATCTCACTATATTTCCCAGGCTATCCTTGAACTCATGATCTTTCTGCTTCAACCTCAAAGGAGCTTGGATTGCAGACATGTGTGACCACTCCTGGCTCATAAATTCACCCTTTAAATCCCCTGATTTTGGTTGTAAAAAGACTGTTTTTACATCTAAACTATAATACTGGACTCCAGTTTGTTTTCTGAAAAGCCTATGAATTAAAACATAACAGTACTAATCATTTTTGAAAAAGAATGTCCATTTAGGGGCGGTTATTCTAAAAGTAAAATTAAACTCAATGTGAAATGCTGGCAAGGATGCATGGCAACCAGAACTCTCATATATTGCAGGTAGGAAAGCAAAATGGTACAGCCACCTTAGAAAACAGTTGGAACCCACAATGTGGGAAAAAATCTTCACCTGTTCTTCCTCAGACAAAGGTCTACTATCTCGAATCTATAAAGAACTTAAAAAGATCAGACCTCCCAAATTTAAAGACCCAATCCGAAAATGGGCATCTGAAATGAACAGACATTTCTCAGACAAAAAAGTTGAAACAGCAAATAAATACATGAAAAAATGTTCAACATCACTGGTCATTCGAGAGATGCAAATGAAAACAACGCTGAGATTCCACTTCACTCCAGAAAGAATGGCTGCTATCATGAAATCAACCAATAACAAATGCTGGCAGGGCTATGGGGAAAGAGGAACCCTGCTCCACTGCTGGTGGGAGTGTAGGCTGGTGCAAGCACTGTGGAAATCAGTATGGAGATACCTCGAAGAACTAGGGCTAGAGGTCCCATTTGACCCCGCTATTCCACTGCTGGGGATCTTCCCCAAAGAATTAAAAGAATCATACCACAGTGATATACGTGCACCCATGTTCATAGCAGCACAGTTTGTGATAGCTAAAACTTGGAAACAGCCCAAATGCCCATCAACTGGAGACTGGATAAAGAAAATGTGGTTTTTTAATAAAATGGAGTACTATTCAGCCATAAAAAATGAGAAATTAGAGACATTTATAGCTAAGTGGATGCACATTGAGGTGATACTCTTAAGTGAAATAAATAGGACACACATGTGTAAATACCGAATAGTTTCTCTGGTGTGAGAAACTGAAAGTGTAAATAAGGACTAAAATGTATAATAGGTAATGTGAAATAGGAAGAAAAGGGGCAAAGGGGAAGGAAGTGGGAGGGCTAGGGGAAAGGATAGAAGGGAATGGGATTAATGTGAGAAAATGGAAAAACAGGAACAAAATCTTTGTAAATAGGGAGGGATGGAGGGGTTGAAGGGAGGGCAGGGGAAGGGGGAAAAATAAGAACCAAGAGAGACTATGTAAAGGTGCAAATTTCCAATGATGAATGTCATTATATTGTATACCTAAAATGTACCAATGATTAGAATGAATAATCGATAATGCAAAATAGGAAGAAAAGGTCCAAAGGGGTAGGGGTAGTGGGAGGGGCAGGGGAAAGGAAAGAAGGGAAAGGGAAAATGATGAGAAATGGAAAAAATAGAAATAAAGTCTTTGTAAATAGGGAAGGGTGGAGGGCATGAAGGGAGGGCTAGGAGTGGGGAAAAAATAAGAACCAAGATGCATTATGTAAAGGTACAATTCCCAATGAGAAATGTAATTGTGTTGTATACCTACAATGTACCAATAAAAGAATAAAGTGCAAAAAAAAAAAAACCGTTGGGCAGTTTTCCAATAAATGTAAGCATACACCACCAAACTGGCAGCTCCACTATTAGCTATTTACATATGTACACAAAAACTTGTATGTACCAGGTTCACGCCTGTGATCTCAGCTTCTTGGAAGGCTGAGGCAGGAGAATCATGAGCTTGAAGCCAGCATGGGTCACTCAATGAAAACCTGTCTTAAAAATACTTGTAGCTCAGTGTGAGGGTTCTGGGTTCAATTCCTAATTCTGAAAAGATGAAGTGGAAGAGGAGGAGGAGGAGGAAGAAGAAAAGAAAAAAACTTGTACACAAATGTGTGTGGTGGCTGGGCGTGGTGGCACATGCCTATAATCCCAGCGCTTGGGAGGCTGAGGCAGGAAGATTGCCACAAGTTTGAGGCCAACCTGGCTACATAGTGAATTCCAGGCAAGCCTGAACTGCAAAGCAAGACCCTGTCTCAAAAAGACCAAACCAAAACAAAAAAAATGTGTATGGTGACTTGATCCATAATTGCCGAAATCTACAAAGAATTCAAATGCCTTCTGGCACAGCCATAGTGCTTTCCCATAAATGCTATTCACAGGCAAAAGAACCTGCATCACTGAATCTCAAGGCATCATGCTAAGTGAAAGGCAGCAGACTCGAAAGTGACCACACACACCCTGCAGGGTTCCATTTACATGACACTCTGGACAAGGAAAGGGATAAGAACAGCAGAACAGCAGATCAGCAACATGCTACGAGTGGGGGAGGCGGAGAGGCTGCCCAGCAAAGGCCACCAAGAATACATGAGGTGACAGAAATGTTCTACATCACGCCTGTGACTGGTGTTAGTCACGCAATTGGATGCCACTGACAAAGTCCACACAATAGTACTAAAAACAGTACATTTTACTGTATGTACATTGTACCTTGGTTTTTTAAAGCTGAGTATTTAATACGAATATGAATAATTGACTACTGACACAGTATTTCATTCTAGGGAAGCCCAAGACGACTAACCGATATTTTCAAACACTGCTTCTTTTCTGAGCATGAGTAGCACCACACAGCCACCTATCACAGAGGAAAGTAGAAATACGGACTCGGACAATCCTTAGGCCAATGAACTTAAGATGCCTAATATTAAATTATCTGTTAAAGAAAGTTCGGGCTATTATTTTCCCTACGGTGAAATAAGTGTCATGAGAACTTGTTCAAGCTACAGAAAGAACCCATGTGATCTTTTGTTACACCACTCTTGGGTAATGAAACTAGGTTTTGAGACACTTACTGTGAACTGGGGGAAGGGGAAGCAGACTTTGTCTCAGATGATACACAATGATCACTTACCTGCTATGAGGACAGATGCTGTGTACTTATATTTGTTGAATTCCAAATACTCTCGAATTAATTCGTTAATTAAAAGGTTTTCATGCGACAATGATGGTCGAGGTTCACGATCATCATCCAGGGCATTGAATATTTCAGCACGGATCCTTGCTTTTAAATGCCCTAGGACCCCCTTCTTTTCCAAGGTGTCCTTTAAAACTGTTAAATAGAAAATATTAATGCTTCAGTTATATAATAAAAAAACCTGCAAGATCCACCACTCTAATGGAATAACCCATTCTAAATGAAGTGTTTGGGTTTTTTTAAAAGATAATTAAAAGTTAACTGTTCAAAACAGCTGGATATTTATTTTTGGTAGGGGGAGGGTCTGAGACAGGGTCTTGCTATGTAGTTCAGGGTAGCCTTGACCACACTAAGATGCCCAGGTTGACCTCAAACTCGAAGCCATTCTCCTGCCTCAGCCTCCTAAGTGCAGAAATTACATGTGTGCCACTACCACGCTGGCAAGGATCTATCTTGACATTGTTAAGCCTCATTAGAAATCTAACACAGGACTATATAACAGCTAACTTAAGGAGTCATGGATGTAGTGTATATGCTAAATGTAACCTAACTTCTTGACGAGCAGGGTCACCTTGACAATGAGATAATGGAACTCAGCTGTACTTAGTATGAATAATGAGGCACTCGAGCTGAACTGGCACCATCCACTGCAGTGGCCTGGAACCTTTTTTAGTCCTTAATGGCTAAATGATAATGTCAGAGAATACATCTCATCCACAGTGCCTATAATATACGAAAAAATTAACACAGCATTGTAACGCAGTGCTGTACACTACTGGTGAAATCAGTGTAGTTAATACTGCACCACATCCTGCCAGAGGCACCAAATCTGCACCCCACAATCAGAAAAATTCATAAAGAGAGTTTATCCATGGAGGCATGGACATCAACTTGCTTTGACAAATAACAAGAAGATTCCTTGGACATATGATTAAAGGGATGCAATCTTTACTAGACATTTCACCGTTTCTTTCCGCTTATTGTTAAATCATTCCCTCAACCTTTTCCAGAAAGAGTAGTTATCAACCAATCAGACTCTGTAACAGGCCCATAAAAGGAGAGCAAAGCCTTGTCATACTTTGGATCATAACTGAAGCCACCTTCTCTAATTCTATCTTTGGAACTCAGATGGACTGAAATTTTCCCCCATCAGAAGTTCGTATCCTGATCACTCTGTAGTACACACAGGAGAGCCTCACACTCAGCAGAGAAATGAGAGTTCATGAAGATGGAATTAGGAAGTCTAGCATGGAAACCGTGCCTCAGGTGCATTCTCCAGGGTAATGAGATCGACCTCTCAGACACACAACCAACTTAGGTGGAAAATGTGAAAGTGCTTTAAAAAGGTAAAGGCTCCAAAAATGTAAGATAATTGGTTATCAAGCAAGTCTTCCTTGAGTTTCTTGTGGACATAAAGCATTTGGAGAGCTGGGGAATGCCCGAAAAAAATATATATAAAAGGCCTCCTAAGTCTGTGTAGGGCATCTCTAAACTCCAGGAGTGATGCTACCTCCTATCATGCCAACCCTTATTATTGTAGTGCTTGAACATTATACCATAAAAACCTCTTCAGAAACACATCTTAACCTGGCTTATCGCTGACAGTGCATCTTTAAACCTTCTGAAACTGGATGCAATATTATATGTCATGTGTATTTTCCAGTGATTTCATGTGAAGTCTGATCTTGTGGACATAGGCATGCCTGTCCCATGACTGTTTACCAGTGTCCAAAATATACATTTATATCAATGGTTACTAAATCATATTCTCAAAGACATTCAACTGTTTTCTCTCCAAATCTCTAATTACTTGCTTAGACTCTAAGTACTCCAAACCCGGAACTGAGTTTATTCATTGGGCAGCAGTATTGTTCAGCAATTAAGACCTGAGGGCTGGTGCATCATATCTGAGTTCCCACACTCTGCTTCTTCCTAGCTTAGTGCTTTGGCCGGGGGATCTCACCTCTCAGCACCTCAGTTTCCACAAAATGGGCACTGGGTTGTTATGTGCAATCAACTAGATGACACATGGCTTCTGAAGCGCCTGACACTGATAACCATAATTACTATCCCCTGACTGGATATCTGTTTCAAGGTTAATGTATACAAATATTATTAGCCACTTCCACGTAACTACTTATCTTTGGGGAAATTTTCCGAAAAAGGAGAACGTCCAAGACAGGGAACGCTGCCTCTAGTTTCTCCCGAAGGACAAGCAGGATCTAACCTACTTCACGGGCCCTTGTAAGGGTCCAACAAACCAGGCAGCCAATGGTTCAGGACTGTGCTTAACACCTGCGAAGCTTGTGGAACTAACATCATCAGCCCGAGCCCGGGCGGAGCGTCCTGAAACTCGCCTGCGACCCCGGGACTCTGGGACGCTGAGATAGGAAGATTAAGTTCATGTCCAGCCTGGACAACTTAGCGAGACCTTGTCTCAAAACTAAAGATAAAGTGTTGGGGGTATCGCCAAGTCCGAAGGCCCTGGGTTCAATTCCCTGGTATCAAAACAAAACAGTCTTTAGACAACCACTGCGCTCCCAGAGGCATGAGCGGTGGCTGACACCTACCAGACGCTCCCCGCAGGCAATGACACCGCAGAACGAGCCCTGCAAAGGCCGACCAAGTCTCTGCGTTTTCTCCCTGGGTCCCCTGCTTTACAGACAGAAAGTCCGACGCTTCCCACCCCTCTTGCACTCACCAGCTTTCAGCTCGGTGACAGTCGCCATGTTTAATGGCCGGCGGGGGCGCGCCTTAGCCGTACGCAAGCGCAGTTCCGCCCCGCTCTGCGGCGTGGTCTAGAGCCAATGGGCGCACAGATTTCGGCGTGCCCGATCCCACCTCTGTCAATGTATTCTTTCTGCGGTTGGGTGAATCCTGAATAGTCAAGGAGAATTTACCAATCAGAGACCGGGGTAGGCGGGACCTCCTGAAGTCGGAGGGAGGAGAAACACAAACAGTTCAAAACCTTTCAAGTCTGGGGGCAGGTGGTACCATGGAGCTCAATAGTAGTTTGCTGAGCCTTTCGTGATCCTGCCAGCTGCTCGTCTCCGCAGCTTCAGGAATGTTAATCCTGTGAATTTCAAACTACAGCAGGCATCAATATCTTGTTAAAATAGATGGCTGAAAGTCTTGTAAAATTGATCGCTGGGCCCCACCCTTGGAGTTTCTGATTCAGTAAATCTGAGATGAGGACGGAGGATTTGCTTTTCTATCCAGTTGCCAGGCTGATGCTGATCCAGTGCCTCAATGCCTGGTCATGCTGTGAGAATGGCGGATCACGGTACTAAGCACCTACTATGTCCCGGACACTGTACCAAATCCTTTACGCTCCTTAACTCAATGATCTCCCTATGATTAGGCCCTTTTTACAGAAGCAGAAACTGAGTCTTCCGTAGCTGAAAAGTCTTCACCAAAATCACCCACAGATGATGGAGGTGATATCTGAATCCACGGCTTTCTCTTCAAAGCTTGTTCTCTTCCACTAGCATTTAATACTAGTCAGCACACATATGGAGTCCAAGAAGTATTTTTGGAAATAATTAGTGAAGAAAAAAGCTCTAGTATCTCAAAGAAAGAAAGAAAAAGGAACATGGAGCCTGGCGTGAAGGCTCCCCTATAATTCCACCACTTGGGAGGCTGAGGCAGGAGGACTGCTAGTCCCAAGGCAGCCTGGACTACATGGGGAGTTCAAGACTAGCCTGGTCTACATAGTACTGGTAAGACTCTGTCTCAAAAACACTCCCCCCAACAAAGAACATAGGAAAAATGTGCCCAAACTGAATGCGAAATTGTAATGACAGGAAAGTTGAAAGATGTGGTTAAATGAGAAGGATCTTTTTTTTTCTTCTTCTAATAAGAGGTATCTTGACCCAGATTCTAGAACTGTGCTCTTTAAAATGCTGGTCAACGCCGGGGATTTAGCTCAGTGGTTCTGCCACCCGCCTGGCAAGTGCAAGGTCCTGAGTTCGATCTCCGGTACCAAAAAAATAAAAAGTAAAAAATAAAAAAAATGCTCGTCAATCGAATAGTAGGAATCCATTTATCAGTGGCTCCCATTGAGCACATGTTCAATGAAATAAAATGTAACAAAGAGAAAACACAGAACATTGTTTTAGTAATATGCGTTCTGGCTCCCCAGGTGTTTCTGCAAGTGGGTAGCAGTCCAAAAACAATTTGAAAGGCATCATAATCTGGAGGAATCAATTCCACTTTTGAGTTAGATTGATGTGTTTGACCCTGTGGGAAACAGATCTACCCTGTAGCCCATCCTGTCAAGTTTCCCTATTCTGTGAAACTGCAGTGCCTCAATGCCTGGTCAGCTTTTCAGATTTATGCGGATTAACTGAATTCCGTAGGAGCAATGTTTGAGCTCTTCAGAGAACAGCACTACTGGATACAGGAATGCAGAGAGGTACAGAATGGTGCAATTGATTAGCAATGGTCAGATAATAACTAACATCCTATGGTAGGTCCCGTGCTGAAGTTTTACATTTAAGTATTCATCAAAACCTCATGAGGTAGGGCTGGGGATTTAGCTCAGTGGCACTGTTATTGCCTCACAAGCACAAGGTCATGAGTTCAATCCCCAGTACCAAAAAACAAAAACAAACTTATAAGGTAGATACTCATGTGGCCATTGTCTAAAGTACATTTTTCTTTAAAAACATCATTTCAGACATAATCTCAGATGTGATTGTGCATGGCTGTAGTCCTGGCTATTCAGGAGCCTGAGGCAGGAGAACTGCTTGAGCCCAGGAGTTTGGGGGGCCAAGTCAACCTTTCAAACCCTTTGGCCCATCAATTCTAGTTCTAAGTATGTATCTTACCGATATACTCACCCCAATGATAAAGGGTATGTTACAAGGATACTTATTGTCGCAGTGTTTGTGGTAGACAAGAACTATGTATAAGTATAAGAAAAGCTAAAACAAAAACAATTGATAATACTAACTGTTGGTAACCATTCGTGTATTGCTGGTATGAAAACAGTGGTAGAGTCATTTTGGAAAACCGTTTGGCAATTGCTTGTAAAGTAATACATTCACTTACACATGATCAATAATTCCAATCCCGAGAGAGAAAAATTTGTGTCCACACAAAAGCCAGTACCCAGTAACAGCAGATTCATTTATAACTGCCCCAAACTGGAAACAACTCAATGTCTTACAACTAGTGATGGATAAACTATGGCATTGCTGTACCATGGAGTATCACTCAGTAATAAAAGGAACCAATCACTGAATGAGACAGTGTCCCCTAGTCCCAAACAATGTGCTCAGTGAAAGAAACCAGGTTCAAGGTGGGCCTGGCTGGAGCACAGCTGTAATCCCAGGTATGTAGGAGCCTGAGGCAGGAGGTTCCAAGTTCAAGGTCAGCCCGGGTAACTTAGTGAGACTGTGCCTCAAGATAAAAAAAAAAAAAAATTATCTGGGGATGTAGCTGAGTGCTCCCTGGGTTCTCATCCCAGTTTTGAAAAAGAAAAAGGAAGAAGAGGAAGAGAATTAAGAGGATGAAAAGGGCCGGAGGTTTGGCTCAGTGGTTCCTCTGCCTGCCTTGCAAGCACAGGGTCCTGAGTTCGATATCCAGTGCCAAAAACAAAGAGGATGAAAAAAGGGGAGGAGGAAGGGTAGGGGACGAGGAGGCAGAAGAAGAAGGGGAGGAGGAGGAAGAAAGAAAGAGGGAAAGAAAGGGAGAAAGAAGAGAGAAGGAAAGAAAGAAAGAGGCAGTTTAAAAACCTACATCCTATGTGATATTACAGAAAAGGCAAAATATCAGGACAGAAAATAGATCCGTGGTTGCCAGGTGCTGAGGATGAGGAAAAGGATCATCTACCAGGATGCACTAGGGGACTAACTTCTTGGGATGGAACTGTTCCATGTCTTGCTTGCCAAAATTCAAAGTGAATTAAAAGGGTTTTTGCACAAAATCTATGCATATCCTTCTACTTTCAATCCTTTCTAGGTTACTTGTCATACTTCATACAATGTAAATATTATGTAAATAGTTGCTATACTGTGTTGTGTATGGAATAATGATAAGAAAAAAACCTGTGCATGTTCAGTGCAGGCTCTCTTGGGTACTCCGTCAGTTGACTCTGCTGGTATAGAACTGGCCTACAGAGGCTATCTCCATAAACAACAAACAAATACTTTCTTTTTGGTGGAGGTAGTGGTTCTAGGGACCAAACCCAGGAGCGCTTTACCCTGAGCTACATCACCAGCCTGATCAATTTGATTGATTTATTGACTGATTGATTGCAGTGATGGGGACTGAACCCAGGACCTTCACACTGAACAATGTTCCAAGCCCTTTTTAAATTTTTTTTTTGAGACAAGTTCTCACCATATTGGCCAGAGTGGGGCTCAAATGTACGATCCTGCTACCTGGGCCTCTCAGAGTGCTGGGATTTAAAATGTGTGGCCCACCCTGCTAGGGAACACCTGTAAGGTATGTTGGGTCTGTACCCACCTGGGGCAGGGGATGAGCTTGTTCACATTCACAGCCCTGTGCGATTCTTCATTACGGTGATTATGAGCTTATCTTAACAAAGATCAGGACCACTGATGCCCTCAGGAGGAAGAAATGACCACGAACATCCTGGAATCTGAATTCATGAGCTCTTTGGATGATAAAACAGGAACTTTACTGTTATGTAATTGGCTAAGTGGATGCAGATATATATATATTTATATATATATATATATATATATATATATAAAACTGTGTGTACAAAGAACACTCCAAGGAGGGAAAAAAGGCCATGTACAGAAGGGGTGTGAAATAAAAGTCTCCTCAAATGACAGGGCCTTATTTTGATGTTGGCAAATGGAACTTCCTTCTTCTCCAAATAAAGTCTTATTAGAACACACCCAAGCTCTTTTGTTTTGTGTTCTATGGCTGTTTCTGTACAACAAAACAATGAGAAAGTTACAACGAAGCTCAAGAGAATTTTTCCTCCCTAGTACTGGGGATTAAACCCAGAGCCTTCACCCTGAGCTACATCCCCAGCCTCTTTTTTATTTTTTATTTTGAGACAGGATCTCACTAAATTGCCCAACCTGGGGTGGAACTTGGAGATCCTTCTGCCCCAGCCTCTCAGAGTGCTGGAGTTACAGGTGTGCACCACCAAGCCTGACAGGAGTTTAAAATATTTTATATGGAGCTTTAAGAAAAAGCTTTTCCTACTCCTCTTCCACTTCCTCCTCCTCCCCCTTTCCTGCCCCTCCCCTCCGCTCCACTCCCCTTGTCTGGCCCCTCCCTTAGCCTGGAAGCTCCCTCCTGTCAGGTAAAAGGCCTAAGACCAAGACCAGACCAGGCCACAACAAGCCTTTATTAGGGGAACAGATCTGCCAGGCTGTCTCTGAATGAAGGAGAGACAAAAGCAATATGGCTGGGGCAGGGAGAGTCTTTTATAGAGACTGGGGTGGGGCTTGTAGGGGCTAAGGCGGGGTTGAGTGAGGTAGTGACTCGGGAATGGAGGAGCCGGGGATGTCACTAGGTGGTAGGAGGTGAGCTAGTATTAGGTTACTCTCTAGGTGGGAACAGGGGCATGCTGGGAAGAAGGGTTTGTTCTTTGGTGGGAGCAACCATCTTGACATGACGTCACACAGGGGAGGGGGCAAGGCACCATAGGAAGAGGGCAGCTACTATACACAATAGCTGCTGAGGTGGTGGGAGTCCTATCACCTCCTGCTCTAGTTCATTTCCACTCCTTCATATTTCAGTCTATGAGCCATTTTATCCTAAATCTTTCCTGCCTACCTTCGGCTTCTCTTCTCAGATTGATTTTGGGCAGTGAGAAGGGCTGAGAAAAGGGCAAAGCACCGGGCAGAAGGAAGTTTCCAAGCAGGGATGCACCCCATCGCCCTACCCAG